GCGTCGCATACTCGTTTCAGTTTTTGCGTTGTAGAACAATCATGTGAGAGCTTGACAAATAGTTGCCACTCTAACACGGTTGTGTGGCTCGCAATTATGTTCTACCGCCTGTTATTATTTGTGTTTGGAGAGCCGGTGAATAAGCACTTTGATAAGGGCATGCTAAACAAGGAATTTGAACTACGCATATTTCCTTGTTGTAACTGCCTCTCATAGTACCCCAACCTATAAGACCGTTTGTCGTTATTGCTCCAATAAGATTAAGATTCTGCCTTAGAGTGTTAGCCACTTCACACTGCACACCAGTACGATACACTGAACGTCCCCTGGTGGGTGTGGAAATTTGGCTGCATTTTGTTCCATCAATCCACACAGTTTGTCTCTCTTCAGCCTCCAATTGTAGCAGTGTTAACATATGGATTTTATTATCAACACTACAACGTACCGTCAAAATTTAACAACCATGAGCTTTACCCAATCCTCTACAACAAGCGCATTCTGCAAAAGGCTGCGTGGCGCGGAGCTCATTTGACGGTTACGTTCACTAAGCGTGCGTATGCAGTCGACGAAACCCCTACGTACCGACCGTACAAAGGTGACCACCCCTCACCCGGACTCCTGATCACCTGCTGGGCTGTCAATTCCGTTCCCTGTTCACTGAAATCAGGCCCACATGCACTCTAGGACTTTGCCGCATTACTCCAAATGTTTCAATCACGTATAGGTTTGACCTGATGTGAATGTACCAAACACTGGTCATGTTTGGTACCAACCATAGCATTGCCGGTGATCTTACATGTTTCCATGATTAATCCTCCAACGCTACCTTCATGGTTGTTACATTTTGACTGTAGATTGTAATGTTGATAACCAACCCCTCGTTGATAATTAATGAGATTGAGGCTCATGGTGGTTGCTTGACACGGCATTACAGTTCCCATAATATGAATGAACGGAGAGAACGATGGCTTGGTTTGTCACAAATAACAACCATTAGCTGCAATCATAATAATGTTTCCACTAATGAAGGCTGGTTCGTGATTAAGGTACGGTCTGCACAGTAGTAGGTTGTAGTGTGTCGGTGCTGCTACATTTGGAGGCTGAAGGAGAGACAAACTGCGTGGATTGATGGAACAAAGTGCAGCCAAATTTTTACGCGCACCAGGGGACGTCCAATGCGTGGTACTGCTGTGCACTGCTAAGTGGCTAACAATCTAAAGCAGAATCTAAATCTTATTGGAGCAACAACGACAAATGAAGCCTTGCACTGTAACAGGGACTCGCTGTAGCTTGACACTACTCCACACTGGACCTCAGAAGCATATCTGTCCATCTGTGTTTACATCCAACAGTCCATGTGATCAGTGGCGTGGCAACTACTTTTGCCGCCCGAGGGGGTGGTAAAATTATCACTCTTATTGTGGGTAGCATAAGCGCGTGAAGGCAAAACGATCGGTAATATGCACACTAGTTTTGATGAAAACTAATATGCGCTTGAGACCTTGCGGTGAATGTGTTGAAAGTGACCACTATGGGACAAATAAGAGGATCACTGGAAAGAACGTTTGCACAAGTGTGACACATGCGCAAACGTGTTGTTGGTCATACTGAGTAACATTAAAATATTCAACCCACAGCTCATCCGGATAATTTGTTCTTTATATTTGGTATTCAACATACGACGGTAATAAAATTGCGGCCCCGTGTCACGTGCCGCCCGTGGCGGACCGCATCCCCGCCTCATACTGCGCCTTTGCTAACGAAACAACTAAATGTATTCCAGGCGGGTTAGTCGTCTCTTCGTCTACAGAATGCAAACCTCCGTCATTAAGCATGATCACGTGTTGTGAGTTCAGGAAAGCACCATAACTCAATCATCGATAATTGCTCATTCCAGACTCAAACCGAGTGCACTGAATACCGAACCGCTTACACTGGAGCTGCATCACCAGGTTAAAAACGATGTACATGACGTTTCTGTTGAAAAGCGCCTGGTTGAATGTGCCAGTAAACCAAGCGAAATGTTAGCCGATAGCAATTAAGGACGTAAAGTAACCGCATATTTTCCCACGAACAACACTAGAACTAAGTTTCGGCGAATTGCTCGCCTAATGTAAGATGCGTCGTTGAGTGTACCCATGGGGCTGAAAGGCGAAACAGATACTTGGTAGGCGGCTGGACAGTTTCATAACCACCACCAACTAGGAGTCCGAGGTGGATGGAGAGTGCGCATGAATTATATCTCTTGGGTAGCGGCACGGTATAGTCACAGGTGAAGATGTAGGACGGAGCCTGAGGTGTGTGGGTGGATGACGAAAACACGCACGAGTTATGATTGCAACAGAGGTCCGGCTATAACCGCATCATTTACCCACGTAGAATTGGGACGATGCGAAATAACAACTTCCACTTGCAAATGGCACATGAACGCACGGACAGGTTTGCGTCATGCGGAGCCACTCATCCCTATGCGTATGCTACAACCTGACGAGTAAATGTGATTCGTCGAAGCGAGTACATTTTATTTGCTGCTTCAAAGCACCGTCGCATCGCAACTCTGTGGTGTGTTCGAATACGGTCCACCCGTAAATATTTCTCTGGAGCGTGCTAAACGGTAGTTGTGATTTCGCTGAATGCTCTTCGTTTCCGCATTGATCATCCTTGCACGAGAAGCAAGCAGCGTCCAATCATCTGCCTTGGTGTAACGGGTTAAGCAATCCGGCAAACGGCCACACCCACTACCCATGTCCGTCAAGTCTGCATAGTTCAATTTGCTTATTTAGCATGCCCTTACCAAAGCGCTTAGCCACTGGCTCTGCAAACACAAATAATAACCGGCGGTAGAACATAATTGCGAGCCACACAACCGTTAAAGAGTGGCATCTATTTGTCAAGCTCTCACATGATTGTTCTACAACGCAAAAACTGAAACGCGTATGCGACGTGACCACACGCACCAACGTACCGGAAATCCACGATGTTCCCCCAAATAGAGAACTGGCTATTTCTAGCACCGCATAAAGTGCACTGTGACCAGTCATCATAATAAAGTAAGAACAACACTCGTTTAAAACAGGTAGTTTACCGCCAACTGAATGTTTTACAGATCAGCCAAATGAACAACACGTCCATACTTCTTACTGACATGCTGAACCGTTTGTTCGCAGTGCTGCTGCATCACTAAGGTCCATGCTTAAGGCACCGCGTGCTCCAAAAATCGAACATGCCACTTGCTTTTATTCAGAACACCTGCAGGCTCCCCAAGAGCATCTCGGAGTACCGTCCCCTCATTTCCTGATTTACATGAACCTTTAATGTGTTCCAGATACCCTCGATGGGATTGTGAGCTGGAGAATATGGCGTAAGGCGTAGAAGTCTCCCAGAGACGTACGGTTACTCCCGGAAAAGGTGCTCTAGGTGCGTGTAACAGGGTGCATTGTCATAAATCAAAAGACACCTTTCCACAAACCCTGCTCCGTTGGTATCGAGCACGTGTCGCAACGGCTGAGCGCACCTTCGCTTGTTGTAACTTCCTCTCAGAAACAAACATGCTGTCAAGCCGTTGTTTGTCATGGCGCCGACAAAATGAACATTCGGTCCCCGGCTGTTTGCCACTGTACCCTGCGATGGACTACCACGTTGTGAGCGGCCACGAGTGCGGGAGCAAAATAAGTTAAAGTTGGTCTCATCAATCTACACTGGTTTCTTTCCTTCCATCTCGTAATCCATGAACTGCAAAACGAATGACCTGTGTCACTTTTGTTCTCCAGCGTGTTCATGGACTTCGGAATAGTGTGCAGTTTCTTCATTCTTATCAGTCTACCATCCAAGTGTCGTGAGACGGTGCTGGTACCTACTGAAATCTCGAACTGCGCCTTCAACTGCAAACGAAGGAGTTCAAGGGTAACCGTAGGCTCCGCAGAAACATACTCCACCAGAGAGTCGACGTGGCTGCCTCTCAGTACTCTGCGACGGAATCACCCATGCTGTCCCACCGGTTCTGTCGATTCGTACGCCCGTATCCAGTTGCGGCAAATTTTCACGTCCACCTTCAGTGTGCAAGCAATCTGCTGCCAATCGTCTCCTTCCTCGTACGCTTTCAGTATGACGCTCTTCACCTCTATCGAGTGCCGAACATACAAGCTAACCATTGCGTTTAGGTGAACTGCACGTTCAAATCACACGGCCAACTTACTTGGCTGTGGCTCGTTATACCAACCCAATCGTCGTTCAAATCCCTACTCTCGTTCTAATTGGTGGGAATCGCTTCCTTGGACAGAGAAACACAGGCCCACATGGTGCATCGGTCGTTAAGGCCGCGTGATTTACTTTTTCAAGTCTCCACTAATATGGCCTGACCGAGCGGTGATAAGGAGCTGTCACGTGCTCTTTCTTGACGCGCGGTTCGTCTCAAATCTATGTTTGCTTTGGCGCGGCTTATCTATTGGGATGCGGCTGTGTGCATACTGTCATCTGGCGTGTCACTCGAGTGTGTCAACCTGAATGTAGGTCTGATTACTCGAGGGTGTGCTTGAGAATTTTCGTGGTTAGACCGTTGGATCGCGACAGGTGAATTTGCCCTGAGACCTGTTGCTTTTCCAAACAGTGTTGCATTTGAACGAGTGAGAGTTCTTTCAGAATCGTTTTCAATGCTCTGCTAAGTGAGACCGGCCAATGTTTTCGATGGTTGGAGTTACGCAACTTTTGGCGGTTGGATCTCTGCGAAACACTGCCCCGAATTTAGAATTCAGGTACATATTGTATGTACTTGAGTATACTCCGGAAAATAGTATCACGGGGTAGAGCTTATAAAAGCACGATGATTAAGTATAACTTCAATGGTGTGCAACAAAATGTCACGTACCCACAGGTAAAAACCCACGAGTGCACAAGTGAGCCATTTGCACGTATTTCTGCTCAAGATCACGATCACTTTTTTATTCGTTTCTCTTTCGGTCACTCATTTCCACCCCATCCGTATCACTTTTTGTCATTTTTAGCTATTCTACAATCTATGGCTCTTTCATATATCCAAACTTGTGGAATGTTTGGACACCGTGTTCTTCATACTCTCCGGCAAATCCCGTCTCGTCACTTGGCTGCACGTGTACCACCACTCCTCCATCATACCCTACTCTCGCTACATGGCTGAATATGTTCCTGACGGCCACGTTTTCAATTTTGCCGCATTGAACAGTGCAATTCATGTGATTATGTACGGCTACTATGCTGTCGCTGCCCTCGGACCTGCTTGGAGACGTTTCTTGTGGTGGAAACGCTACTTGACCCTGTTGCAGATGGTAAGTTGTGTCCTAACCACTAATTTTATATTACTTGTTTTTGGTTAGTAGTTCGATACTCCAGTTTGCAAGATAGTCCAAATCACCGTAAGCAGTTGTATTCGATACATCACTTTCCTAATTTCGTCCAATTGTCAAATAAAATTACTTAGTAAACACCAAGCGTTTGCTTTCGATATTTTCAGTAGTACTATGTTTTTCAGTGTGTTTGTAAAATCACCGCATCGTTTATTTAGCTAGCAATTTAAAAGTGGCTTGATGGCCGATGTAATACCGGCCTTCCCGTTTTGCTTAGCGACATTGAACAGTTCTAATTCTCTTTCGTATGATAACCAATATCGCTGACAGAAACTGCTTACCTTAGATCACTTGGTATGTGCTTGCTGCTCAACATATCGGCTAGAATCGACTGGTTGATTATAGTCAAATGGATAATAACCACCCAGATCACTGGGACGTTATTTCGCAAAATCAATCTAAGCGTTTGCTCTAACACGTGGCTAAGTTTGTTTCATTCAATTCGATTGTGCTTGGTATCTTTGAGGATATTTATAGCTCGTGATGTGTCTGGGGACCATGAATGTTTCCCCAGACCCGTTGATTTAACTGTAGAAGTTCACAACAAAGCCAGGTGACGGTATCGACAATTCTCTGTGCGTTGGTTTATTTCTTACATTGTAACACAAATACCAGTCTTGTATGGTCCCATTTGCCTGACGGTTTCTTTCTGTTCTTGATGTTTTTTTGATCAACTTGACGAGCAATCCAGTTGTCTGATTTAGTTTGATAAGCCAGGACCTTCCGTTATGTTTGTCACAGCAGGGTTCAGGCTGGAGGAAGTAGTATCCTAGTAAAATCGCTGAAACGCTGCTTTGCTTTTCGGAATTCACTAGACACGCACGTTCATAGACCCAATCTGCTTGACCAGCTTTCGTTTACTCTATTGAAAGTGGCCAAATATCACAGATACCCCTTCGTTATACGTACCCAACCAATATAAAAAATAAATAAACTTTTACTCTCGACAATGCGAGGCACAACTTTACAGGCATGATCAAGTTTAGCTAACATAGTGTGATCAAAAATGTACAAAAAGTGCATGTTTAGCATAACAGTGAATCTAAGTGTATGGTGCACTGAGACTGGTGGTGGCTAGATCCTGACAGATGGTCTACCCACTGCTGCTACTGTAGTGCCATTTGCTCATGTTCTGGGCGCCTCCTCGTGGCGGCCGCTAGGTGGGATTTGGGTTTCGCTCTTCTCCCTGCTAAGATCCAGGACACCAATCCGCATGAGTCAGTGAACTGACCATGTGCTAGACCCGCTGCCTTTCGGGTGTTCATTTAATCGAAGACATTTGCTGAGCACCCGAGTCGTTCTCCTGTCAGCATTTGGCGCCCTGGCAGTATCCTAGTCCATCCTCTTCGGAGGTTAGGAAGTGGTCGATGGCCCACTTCCCGTAAAACCTAGCCATGAGAGACAACAGGTCTACGGGTTATAAGCTCACAACTAGATTGGCGCAGAGCACGAGCGCCACGCATTGTCTCTGACGGTGGGAGGACACCTCTGGGTGTTCATTGGTTTGCTACTGCCCGCCTCAAGCCAGTCAGCCCGTGGTCAAATTGCTGCAAACCCGCCAAAACCCACCTGCGTCTGTCCGTTGTCGCAGGTGCGTATCCCACTACGGTCGTAAAACATATATAAAACGTTCCAGAACCTCAAAGGCTGCGTGTGACGGCCGTCAAGCAGATCCCAATCTGTCTCTGCAATCACATTCCCGAGCTGGATCTGCTCCCCACTGCCTTGTGGGTCAGGCTATTGAGCCGAAGGCTCCGGATGGAGTCCCTCAAGCAAACCTCCTAAACACAACGACCACCTCCCGTCCGATTGCCCACCAATGCAACCGTATGCTTTCGCGCAAAGCACTCAGCATCGGGTGCTGGAATGTGCGCACACTACTGGACCGGAACTCCAGCGAGCGCCCGGAGCGACGCACTGCACTGGTCGCGATGGAGCTGGCGCGCTACAACATCGATATTGCGGCGCTCAGTGAAACCCGGCTCGCTGAGCAAGGTAAGTTGCATGAAGCAGGTGCTGGCTACACATTCTACTGGGTGGGCAACGCCGTCTCAGCACCACGTGATCATGGGGTCGGATTTGCAATATCCGATCGCCTCTATGGCCAGCTGGTGGGTGAACCAACGGGCATCAGCGCGCGACTGATAACTGTTCGCCTACGACTCGGAAGAGGTAAGTTTGCCACTTTTATAAGCACGTACGGTCCGACCATGTGTTATCCTGATGACACGCGTGATCAGTTCTACACTGAGCTAACCCCCATGATACAGTCCGTGCCGAGGAGCGACCGACTATTTCTGCTGGGTGATTTCAACGCGCGCGTTGGGCGTGATGCATCAGCGTGGATAGATGTTATCGGTTCGCATGACATTGGCTCAGCGAATGCGAACGGTGACAGGCTGCTCTCACTGTGTGCCACTCACGGCCTGACGATCACGAACACTCGGTTTGCACTGAGTACGAGCGTTATAGCAACCTGGACGCACCCACAGAGTGGTCACGCTCACCTGCTCGACTATGTCATCGTACGTCAGCGTGATATGCGCGAAGTGCGCATGACACGTGTACTGCGTGGAGCTGAGTGTGGCACTGATCACAAATTGGTGCGGACCAAACTGTACATATATTTTCGTAAATCTGTGTATTGCACTCCCGCCGTGAATTGGCGTAAATTTAACCTTCTCTCCCTCGGTACTGTGACGAAACGTACTGAGCTGGAGAAGGCGATGGCTGCACGCCTGTGTGACGTGGACTGCATAGCCACAGTGGGCGACCTGTGGCATCACATTCGCGACTAGGTGACAGCTGCAGCCGAGGAGACCATCGGGCGCGCAAACTGTAAGCGGTCTGATTGGTTTGATGAGAACAATGCGACGATCGGCGCATTGGTGTCGCGGAAGAATGCAGCATTTGATGCACATGTGGCCGACCCCATTGACTTGGGGAAGAATGGTCAGCTTCGCAAACTTCGACAGCGACTGATCCGAGAGCTCCGTTGCACTACAAATGCACGGTGGATGAAGAAGACGAAGCAGATGGGATGCTAAGCCGAACGTCACCAACACAAGGAATTCTTTGACTCTGAAGGCGGTGTATGGACCGAGATGGGAGCCGCCGAGGAAAATGATCGATGGTAGTTCAGGCGCTGTCTGCACACAGACTGTAGACATAATGCAGATCTGGCGAAAACACTTTGACTGTCTCTTGAACAACCGTTCAGAGATCGACTGGTCTACATTGAACGGCCTGAAGCAGCACGATGTGAAGGCGAATCTGTCGGACACGCCGACATTGGATGAGACGCAGAGAGCACTTGCGCAGCTGCGAAACGGCAAGTGTGCCGGTGCCGACGGGATCCCTCCTGAAGTATTGAAACACGACGGACCCGTGTTGTTGACTGCGCTGGAGCACTTGGTGCAACGCGTATGGATTGAGGAGGAGGTGCCTCCTGAGCTGAAGGATGCCCTTGTGCTACCACTGTACAAGGGCATAGGTAGCAAGCAATGTTGCCCGAATTATCGTGGCATCAACTTGCTGAGTTGTGTGGGCAATGTGGTTGCCCGAATCCTGCTCAACCGCCTCGTCAGTCAGGTTTTGGAACCCAACGTGGCGGAATAGCAATGCGGATTCCGTCCGGGTCGCAGCACTGTAGATATGGTGTTTGCGGCTCGTCAGTTGCAGAAGAAGTGCAGAGAACGACACCAGCCATTGCACTCGCTTTTTGTTGATTTCACCAAGGCATTTGATACGGTGAACGGCGAGGCATTGTGGCTGGTATTTGGTAAGTTTGGTTGCCCGCGTAATTTATAAGTTTAGTTGAATGTCTGCACAGCGGTATGCGAGCGAGGGTGCAACTGAGTGGAGAGACCTCGGATGACTTTGCGGTTGTCTCTGGTGTGAAGTAAGCCTGTGTCTTAGTTCCTGCCCTGTTTAATATATATCTTCATGCAATATTGTCCTGTACATTTGATGCCGCTTGTGCTTACGGTGTTTGTGTGAAGCACCGTATTGATGGTGAGTTGTTGAACATCCGTCGTTTCGGTGCGTGAACTCTAGTCTGTGAGACAACTATCCGTATGTTGCTGTTTGCTGACGACTGTGCGTTGTTTTCACACAGCGCGGATGAGTTGCAGCACATGACTAGTGATCTGGCTTTGACAGCGGCAAAATTTGGGCTCACCATCAACGCAAGCAAAACTGTCTGTCTCTTTCAGCCTTCACCGGAGGTGCAATCTTCAATATTGCCGCGAATCAGCATTGGTGCTGAAGTATTGGAAACCACCTCCAGCTTCTGCTACCTTGAGAGTGTGATGTCGACTGATCAGCATCTACACAGTGAGCTGCGTATCCGCGTGTCGAAGTCAGCGGCGGTATTCGGGAAGCTTGAGTATCGAGTGTGGAACAACCATCAGCTTAGCATTGGCACGAAGCTGATGGTGTACAAATCCATGGTGCTGTCCGTTCTTCTATACGGCAGTGAAACGTGGACCATGTACCGTCGGGATGTGCGATATCTCGAGCGGTTCCATCAGCAGTGACTGCGACGGATTCTGCGCATCGGCTGGGGCGACAGAGTTGCAGACACGAAAGTGTTGCTTCGAAGTGGAATGTATGTAGTGGACTGCATACTTTTGCTGAGACACCTGAGGTGGATCAGTCATGTGAGCCGTATGGATTCGACGCGGATACCGAAGTAGCTATTATATGGTCAGCTGAGTATTGGGAAGCGGCACGTGAGGAAACCAAAGTTACCTTACCAGGACATGATCAAAGTGAGCCTCACACGTTCTAATCTTGATTGCAGATCATGGGAATCGAAGGCGGTTGATCGGCGTGCATGGCACGATCTGATCACGTAGGCAGTTGCCGAGGTGAAGGAGAAAGACCTCATACATGCAAAGAAGAAGCGGCAAGCACCGACG